GAGCATTTTGCAGAAGTTTAAGTGATAAAATGTTTATGAGAATTCATGCTTTAAAAATGTGTGCCTGTTTAACTGTGTGGTTTAAATTACTTATAACTAATATCTAATATAGGAAATAAATAATATCAAGGTAAAAGGCAAATTTGAGGACTTGGAATTGTTTGCACAAAGGAAAGGGAAAAAGCGTATTCTTGTAGTGGGGAATTAAGGTTAAACCTTGTTGCCACACCTTTGCCTTGGATTTCCTTTTTTATTTCCTGTTGTTTCATTTTTCTCACCAATTAAATGAGAAAAGTTCTGAGCTATTTCAGAAGAAGTCCAAGATACTGAATAATGTTTGAAAATGACTATGATGTTAAAGTGTGGATGGCCCTGGGAGTTATATATGCTCTGAGTAACTTCCTGAAGTTTCCCAGCTGGGGAGAGGTTGGTGTCTGAAAAAAGCAGATTTATAAAAGAAGTTCCCAGTAGACAGAGCAGTTTGTATCTGCTGAGAAGGTAAAGTATTAAAAAGAATACAATTTTGGAAAATAACCCCACATTATATTATAAATAATTTATTTTGAGTTTGGTTTCTTTCCTGATCTATTTTGTTTCCTGGTTTGTTTGTTTTTTTTTTTTTCCCAAGGCTGCTTGATAGCTTTGATCTTTCTAATTAAACATCTCAAATGGTATTTTCAGTCCCTGTATATCCCAATTCTGAAATCTGATGCTTTCTTTCTTCATTTCAGATGGTTTCTCTTGGAGTGGGGGGGTTTCACACCCCTTTTTGACTTATACTGCCCTCTTAATGAAAACACCAGTCTGTAGGGTCTTATTATTCATGTTTTGATCTGCATGGGACCAGACATAGGAAACAAATCAGTATTTCTGTTTCACTTCCCTTGAAATCCCTAATACCTCATGTTGAGGTAGCAGTTTTAGTAAATCCCTAATACCTCATGTTGAGGTAGCAGTTTTAGTAATTTTATTAGAAGGATTTCCAGGTTGAGACTGTGGAAAAGAGGAGGCTTTTAGCAATGCATAAATAACTATTCTGGAATTAGAAGAGGTTTTCAGAATGACAGCCTCCTATTTTCCATAGGTTCAGCTCTTGGGGCACTGTGGGGTGCAGAGGTCCATGTGGCTGGAGGAGCCCACAGCTCTGTGGAAATACCCAAGGGAGGGGAAAGGTCTCAAGCATTTAAATCTTTTGCTGCAGTTCTGTATAATTTTTCACTGGTTTTTTTTTTTTTTTCACTTTGTTTTCACAAGTTGGTCCTTTTCTTAATCAGAAGATAAAGTCCTTTGAACTGTCATATTAGTATTTCTGTTTCAGACCTTCTCCAGAAAGACAAAATTCAAGCAGCATTAGGCTCAAAGCCCTTTGTTTGGACTTTCATGTTGAATTGAATTGGTTTTCTTATCTTTCAGGTTATTGAGTTGTCCCATATATGGCCAAAAATTGTACTGGTGGTCTAAGGTCAATGAGGTCAAGTTCTCTTAACACCTTTTGTGCCCCAGTAGAAGGCTTAGTTATTCCTGCCCAAACCTGTGAGCAGGAGGCCTTCATTTCCTCAGAACAGAGGATTGTTCTGGGACATCCCAAAGGTGGAGACTGCACAAGGATATAAATACATGGGGCAGTGAGAAATAATCCAGTGGCAACTGCATCTAGATTCTATACCTTGCAGGTATAATTACAAGACAGATTTAATTATAGTAGTACTTCAAGATATTTTAAAATTAAAAGCTCAAGGTTATCCTGTTTTCCATGATCTACAACTGTTTTGCTGCAAGCCTCTCTTATTTTAACTCAGATAAGGAATTTTTCCATATACTTGAAAAAATAGAAGCTGTCACTGGTGGTGACAGACTGTATAGGGTGTCTTTATATTTTAACAGTTGAATGGTTTGCCTCTAAATGTCTTACATTGTTTTGTAGGTGAATCACTAAGTCCAAGGCATCATAAAAAAAAATTAAATTAATTTCCTTTTTACCAATATCACTTTTATTGCATATGTTTATATTTACTGCAGTAATTAGGGGAAATGCCAGGCTGATAAATACCCAACTGACATATTTCACATAGATACACTGAGAGTACTTTGTTCAGTAAAACATGGGCTGTAATCACTTTAATTTTATACCTTTGATAGGATTTGATTTCATAAGAACATGGACTTTCTGAATTGGCAACTGGTTTTTGAAAACTTGCATTTAACTGAAGAAAGTTCTTTCTTCAGTTAAATACTAAGTGATTGTGTTTTCAAGAAATCTTGTGAACTGAAATGAGCCTTGTTATGGTACTTAGGGGTCAGACTGTGACCAGTAATCAGTAAAAGCTTACTTTTGGCTTCTAAATTAAGACGTGTAAATTTTTACGCATCCTAATATGCAAAAAAATGATGGTGCCACTGTTGCTATTGTGTTTCAGACGAGCATAACTAAAAGTTGGCTCTGTTTGGTTAAGTTTTGAATGATCTTGGTGTTTGTCACATAAGGAAGGTCAGTGTTAAGGATGATCTGATGGCTTTTACAGTTGAAATCCTTCCATTACTTCAGTACTTTACTGGAGCTCAGATTAATTAAATTCACCCCTGAATTTTCTTTCCCTCTTTGAGCATTTTCATCAGTCAGATTTGAGCCTTGCCTTCATCTCCTAGCAAAGAGGGAAATGTTCATTCTGGAGGATTGTTGTTCCATCTACTGGTTCCTTCATCTAATCAAAAACTCTGTTTATCTGCTTTTCTGACTGGCATTAATGTTGATGTTGACTGATGTCTCTGCAAACAGCTGGCTCATATATTTGCTTAATTAAATTACAGCATTTCCAGACTTTGGTTGATGTAACTCTCTCCATGCTACAAATGTGTCATTTCTCTCCTTCATTTTACATCAGCATTTGTGCATCTACAGATGCAGATGCTTTGGCTTGACCCTTTGTTCACTTTACAGCATTTGTGAGTACAGTGCAATTCAGTTTATTGGGGAAGTGTAGTATAGTACGGTTTCCTCGTCAGCTGCCTGCAAAGTTTGAACCAGTATTCCTGAAAATATTTTAAAAATAGTTTCTGTAGCCAAAATTATCAATCCCTGTGCTGGATACCTGACCTTCTTAGAAATAATTATTCTGATATATTTGCAGGACTACTTTGATTGGTAGTTTAATGTTAGTGACATTCCAGGGAGAAATTTTCTCATGTCTCTAAATTATCTCTTGAATGCCTAAAGTGCTGTTTGCTATAGCCAAGACAAGGCGTGCACGGGCCATGGGATTGAATTTAGGATTTCTTTTATATTAGGTAATTAAATAATTTCTATAGAATGTCACTGGTGAAGCAGAGGAGTGTTTTCACTTTATTTTTTCAGATGTAATAGGCTTTTTTAGGGCAAAGCTACCTACTAGGTAATGGTTTTTTTTTCTACTTGCCAGGTACAATTTCTGTATTTTTACCCCAACTCACAATTATAATTGTTTTTCAGACCTTTTCTTTATAAAATTACTTTATGCCTGTAATTTTCCTATCATGGCTATAAATTTAGGTCGAGGCAAACTAAAGTAATTTCGCAGCACAGTAATTGTTCTCACTCCCACATGGTTTATGTATCCAATAATCATTAGGTGATTTACTGGTTACTTCTATAAGAAACTTTTATTGGAAGCACCACTGAGTGCTTTGTGCCAGTGTTTAGTATCAGTGAACTGGTTACAATTGTGTGACCATCTCATGGGTTTGCTTAAGCAGCAAAACATGCTGGGTTTTTAGGTCCCAAAAATATTCCTTTTTAGGGCAACATGGAATGGAATACATTAAGAACATACAATGTAACCCCCTAATAACATGAATTGAAATACTAGGCATTATTAAAAATGCTTTAATATTATTAATCCTTTTATCCTTTCAAGTTTTGTTTGTTATACAATGTCCTACAGTTACAGGTTGGTATTTGCTGCTCAAAGCAGTTCTCTCTCTGTGTTTTGTGCCTGGTACTTAATGATTTATTTTAGGTTTGTAAATAGCTGAGCCTTTATTGAGACCTGTGATTTTATTTACCTTTTAATCTAGAGAGCACTATTGAACTAGTTAGCAGTAGTGAGACTTAAGCCAATGAGACTTGATTTTCTAAGTTATTTTAAGGCTTTGAACCAGGTTGACAGCATAAAATTATATTTATGTTTACTTTGACTGAACATCCATAATCAGGAAGAGGCATAATAATCTGCTTTCAGTTGAAATGTAAATTGTGAGGATTGTATTTTAGTATACATGAATATATGTATATTTATACAGAGACAAATTTAAAAGCAATCTTAAACTGATTTCCACTTGTACAGATATACAGACAACATTTTGCACTTAAAAAAATTTCTGTGTATGTTTTTACATAATGTCAGAATATCATATAAATTACTTTTCAGTGAGTAGTCTTTATGGATGCATAAGACAGCAGAAGTATGTGTTTTCTCAAGACACAAATTTCTATTGCTATCATCAGTATTCTCATATTTGCAGCTATTCTCTCCTGTGCTTCCAAGAGTGTGTTTTGTTTTTCCGTAATTTATATATCCAATTGAATCTGATCTGATTATATTGTAAATCAAAACTAATTCATGCAATTTGGAAGTCACCTGATAACCAATATTTTTTAGAGGGTTAGAAAAAGTAAAATATATCTTTATCAATGTTTTTTTTTTAATTACTCAACTCTCCATTTCTGAGTTTTATATTTTTATATTCTTTATGTAAACTTGACACAAAATTTGTGGGAATTTCTCCATTATAGTAGATTTTTTTTTGAGTTTCCAAAGATTGAAGCATCAAATACCTGTTTTTCTTTTTAAATATATAGTCTCATTTTGGAATCTCCAGTCACTACTGGTTGCTCTCAGCATAGTGAAAATGAAAATCTAGTTTTGACATTCTTTGTCTTATGAAGGTCCAGAAAACATAAATCTTTACTGCTACAGTGCACAGAAAATTAACTGTCTTTAATAATATTTCTATTTATTTTGCAGTTTAATAATAATGCTCAAAATGTCAGCTGCTTTAATCATCTTGTCCAAGCTAATGTGAGGAACAAGAAGAAACTGAAAGAAGCTGTCTATAAAATCTCTGCTAAAGGAATTACAGATTACAAAAAAGGTTTTAGCTATGCTTTTGAACAGCTGCTAAATGTAAGTATTGAAATAAGATCTCTCTGCTGTCAAATGAAGGAGAACTGGAATGTTCAGCAGGCCACTGCATCTTCCTCCATTGTGTACTTAAGTGGTAGAAGTGCAAATCTCTATTTAGCAAGTAAATTCATCTACACAATAATTTCTTCATTGCAGGTTCCCCAGTAGGTTGCTAAGACTTTGGAATTAATTTGGTTTTCAATCTGTTGTACTGTTTCACTTCATTCATTCAGCTGTTTTTTCATTTAATATGTGATTCACAGTTGACACATATTTGTGGTAGTGGTTGGCTTGCCATTAATTTTAAAATTGGAAGATCTGTTACTGCACTATTACTTCAATTTTACCACATCATCTCCTAGAAATGCCACGTTAACCTGCAATTTCACACTTATTAGAAGTCATAAATACTTTACCATGGTTTGAGCAAGATAGAGGGGAGGAAATGAGTTAATAGAGGAATACTAGGCACCTGATGATGCCTAAAGAGTAGTATCCACTCACTGAGATGATTCTAATTCTCATGTATAAAAATTCCTCAAAAATTAAATGCATCATTTCTGTGTTTTAAATGCATTGCACTTTCTAATTTTCACCCAGGCACTAGCATTTTGAATGGCAATGTTTCCCATTTATAGCAAATGTTTGGAGTTTATTAGTAATTTTTAAATTATTCATGTAGTTGTTTACAAAAACAGTTCTAGTTCTCACCTTCCTGAAGTAGGAATATTATATGTTAAAACTTAGTGTAAATAAAGCTGTACCCCATTACAGCAGGTAAGGTATAGCTTAACAAGCGAGAAATGTATTCTTATCCTTATTGGTTTATGGTTTTTTGATTCTGGGTTCATTTGTTTGTTTGGGGGTTTTTTGTGGTGTTTTTTTGTTTTGGTTTGGTTTTTTTTGTTTGTTTGTTTGTTTGGTTTCAGTTGTTTTTTGATATTTTGTTTGCTTGTTTTTTTTTAATTTTGTTTAGGTTTTTGTTTTGTTTCTGTGTTGTTTTGTTTTCTTTTCTTTTTTTCCTAATCTGTCAGATCCTGAACTTCAGGACACTTCCCTGACATTGCAGCTCAAAGCTAGATCTGATGTAAAAATTCTAACTTTGTTAAGTTTTGATGGAGGAAAAGAAAATCCAGTTTTTTCATGGGAATTTTCTCAGCAGACCACTGTTCAGATTAGCAGAGGGGTGTGCTGGGGAAATGAGTAGATGTCCTCTGCTGACAGCTGTATAAAACCACAAACAATATTTTGAAGTCTGTTGGACATTTTGAACCGGGGATGGCATTTTCCCCTTTTCTGAACCTGTTGATATTATGCAGAGGGAACCAGGAAGACAAGAAATTTTGCCAAATATGTTCCTCATAACATTTATATTTGCTTAAAATTATGGATTACATTTAGTGCAGCACCAAATACTTTGTGTGCAGGCAACATTGAGAAAAGCTGAACACAGGGAAAGCCTCAAACTGGACTTGCCCATAGGACTAAAGTATTAAAAAATAATTGGAGATCAGTGTCAAAGTGGGACCATCTCTTTTGTAGCTGGAGGCAGAAGTGTGATTAACCTCACATGATTTCTGCAAGACTGGAAGTTATGGATGTTGTGGATTACATAAGGTTCTGGATATATACTCATCCTCCCCAAATATTGCCAAATCTCTTTATCAGGAAGAGTAAAGGGCTGGTGATGGGTTTAGCCCAGGACTCTGGTGACAAGGCAGTGTAATATGGTGGTATAATAATGGCTTAAAAATATGCTTTGGGATAGTTTCCACTTGTGTATTTATGAATTTAAATATTCCAATTGCTTTAAGGTCCATATAAATGCAGTATTGCTCAAATTTTCAAGATAATTTTGTGGGTACTGTTTCTGGATGACAATTATTTCAAACAATTTTCCAGTATACCAAAGTAATGTTTGGTACCATGAAAAAATTGCTGTCTGATGTGTTTCTAAATGGAAATAGATACTTAAGGTTTTTCAACATAATAATTCATGTGATTAACAATAATTTGGATTCCTTAATTTTTTCACAGAATTTTCCTACTATTTATTGTTACATTAGCTTACTTCTTTGTAAATCATACTTCAGCTTCAGCAGTTCAGGAGGGTTTTTTCACTCATGCTGTAATATCTATGGTTTCTCAAAAAAAAAAAATAGAGAAAAATGCATTCCTAAAGTGTCATGTCACAAGGTACAACTGTAACCTGCCACTTAAAGAGTTAATTTTAAAGACGTGGAACTCGTATAAAACAAAAGCAATTTTATATGAAGTATAGAATGGATCATGTCTTGCTTGCCTGTTTAAAAGAAAAACATAAGGCCTGTATCAAATAGAATAGAGTGCTAAAAATTAACACACAGTCCAATTCCACAGGTATTCTGTTGTGGCTTAAGCTAAGAAGCTGTTTCTTGTCCTGGGGAAGCTCCTCTGTAGACAACACTTTCCACTGAGCTGTGGCCCCTTGGACTGCTAGGGCAAACTGTTCACATTAATGATTTTTCTGTTCAGAAAAAGTATTAAATTACATCAGCTTTTCACAATCTGTTATGGATTCACACCCTGAGCCAGTCTCCATTTTAGACCAAAGTAGTTTTGGGGGGAGGAAGGTGTTTTAAATTCCTTAAAAATCATCTGGTTCAACACCCCTCCCATGGACAGGGCCGAGGGTGCTCAGAGCTCCATCCAGCCTGGCCTTACACAGTTCCAGGGATGGGGTAATATCATATGATTTGAGTTTATTCATGTTCAGTTTTCCAATAATGTTTGGAGGCTAAATCTTGGATTTTATTTTTTTCCTGTGACATGACTTTAGTGTCTAAACAAAGTAGTGTAAGTAAATGCCCTCTGTAAGTATGAGGAGATAAGATAAAACTTTTTTTTTTTTTTTTCTGATAGTGTGTAAGCATATGCCAAGTAAACCAAGGAAAATCCTGCTTTAGTCAGTGAAAGCAAAGCCCAGCTCAAGTTCCCATTGCCTATGGAAGCACTACTATAGTAGTATCAAAGTCCCTAGAAAAGTTCCATAATATGAGCAAATTTTGGTCCCCGTCCTTGTCCCTCTGATCTTATTTTGATCTGTATATTAAATCACTGTAAATGTAAGTGAATTCCTTTATTTATGAGGTATCCAACCATACTTTTATTACTTTTTTAATATCGAGAGAATTGCAGCCCAAAGCAGTGTCTTGCAAGTTATATTTCACAAGCAAAAAATGGTCATAAATTATTTAATTCCAGCTAAAACACAGTGTGCTGATGAGGTTGGATAGAAGGTATTGATTTCAGGGAGGTTTTATATGTTGTTACATGTAAGAGAATCTTTGGGCTTGATTCTTTGGGCTTAATTTTATTTTTTTTTTTCCTTCAAATTACTAAATTTGAAAGTAGTAATAGTAAGAAAAGAAGCAATTCTTCACTGAATATTGAACAGAAATTAGACCAGTGAGTACAATGAAGGAAGTAGGATCATCATACCTGACCAGCCTGGTGACAGTCACTCTGTAGCCACAAAGAGTAAAGCAGGCATCTTTTTAAGGACAGCTCTCCTATTTGTCTTCCTGACTCTAGAGTAAATTCATATAGCAAAATTCAGGCTTGTGGAAGGAGAAGTTGAATTTCTTTCACTGGATCTCTAAGGGTTTTACTCTGTCACATCCAACTACTCAGAAGTACCAAGGTGTGTCTGACTGGCACCGTTCGTATGCAGCACAAAGGGCAAGGAATGGCTGCAAAACTAATAGGCAATTTGCTTACATGAACTTTTAGAGGACAAAGAATGAGGAGCCAAAATTCATGCTCACCTCTATTGATCTGGCTGTGGAACAATGTTTTTATTTCTTTGCAAAACACACTGCATTTTTTCTCAGGGGCTTTGCTAGTTGCTTTGATGAATTAGGAGTCAGAGGGGCTTCTTCTTAATTCTATTTCAGGCTTGCTCTCCAGAAATAATGGAACATGCTCCATTTTTCAGTTCTGAGATGCAGAATTGTTGGAAAAGTAGGTGATGGAGGCATTTTAATAATCTAGGTGGCCGTATCTTGGCTACAATATATTATCTAAACCTTATTCTAAAATACTTTTCTAAAGAAAATTAGCTATTAGTGAATTATCTATTCACTTAATAGTATTAATAGTTAAAAAAATGCATAAAAGAGTTAAAGATTTGGAAGATGAAGCTCATTATAAGGAAATATGACAAAAATATTTCAAAGCTTATAAGGTGGATATCCTATCCTATCCTATCCTATCCTATCCTATCCTATCCTATCCTATCCTACCTATCCTATCCTATCCTATCCTATCCTATCCTAAAGGATGCTTAAATTAAGAGTTTTTATTCAAGAGGTCAGTGAGCTAGAAAGATTTTGTGAGTAGGAGTCCAACAGAAAAAAAATAAGTATATTCAGTAATTCACTGTTTTTCCATTGTTGCCCAATTTCTACCAGGAAGGTAATGGTAAGGGAAAAAAAAGTAAGGATGAGAAAAGAGAAGAGTAGAAATATTTAGAGATCTTCATTGTGCAAGTCTCATACAGAACATCTGTTGAGGAACACTGGGGGGTTGATGTGATGAGTATGAGCTAAGGATCCCTCCTTGTGTTTGTGGAGGTGAAAGGAACTACCAAATCCCTATTCCACTCTGTTGGGACAGATCTGAAGTGCCTCATATTTAAGTATCATGCAACAGAAAAGTGAGTTTATTTTATTTTATTATTTTATTTTATTTTATTTTATTTTATTTTATTTTATTTTATTTTATTTTATTTTATTTTATTTTATTTTATTTTATTTTATTTTATTTTATTTTATTATTTTATTTTATTTTATTTTATTTTATTTTATTTTATTTTATTTTATTTTATTTTTTATTTATTTTATTTTTCATTTATTTTTATTTTAATTTTTCATAAGGGGCTATTGAATGAAATTCTGAAACATTTTTTGTGTTGACATTACCATGTTAAAGTAGTAAGTGTGTAGCTATAAAAGCCATCAGATATAACAATTGTTATTCCTTCAAGCCTGAAATATAAAAACTCTTCTGTTTCTATCTCCTACAGCACAGTGTCTCCAGAGCTAACTGCAATAAGATTATTATGCTGTTTACAGATGGTGGTGAAGAAAGAGCACAAGAAATTTTCCACAAATATAATGAAGACAAAAAAGTAAGTGATCTATGAAAAAAATTTGCTGTATGAAATAAAACAGCATAAAGAGAATATATATTTAAATATAGAAGTGAAAATGGATTTGGTGTATGTATAAAGTACTTAAAAAAAAATCTGAATAGTATTGATCCTTAGGACACTTAAAGCTTTTTCAATCTATAATATTTATTTCAAAAATCATAAAATATATTTAATGTTTTACACTTTGTGACTCGTTGGTCTCAAGTGATGCAGAAATACACTGTAAGCCGTAAAGAGCTCAACTTTCTATTGACCCTCTCCTTGCGTTATCTATGAATTATCCAGCAGAAACATAGGTAGTTAAATGATAGGGTATATATGTGTATCTGTCTACTCACTGCAAATATCTTCTATGTGCTTTCATTGTTTGCCAGGCAAAGGCAAAATGAGAACTCAAGGTTAAAATCTGAATTTGAATAGATTTGGGCTGGAACAAAAACACATTTTTTCCCAGTGAGGCTAATTATATCTTTGAATGTCTTAGCAAGAAGTGGGATGGCTTTCTGCTGATGAAATTTGATCTGTGGTTCAAGCAGAATTATGGGTTTGACATGAGAATCCCTGGATGAGTTCTGTTGTTTAAATTAAATTGGATTATTAACTGTGCTGGTTTTGAGTTTAATTTTTGAATCTAATCAAATTTCTGGTCTGGCTTTTACATACTTAAAGATTTAAAAATGCAGGAGTGTGTACATGAAATATAGCAGCTTTTAAAGTTGTTTCCTAGTAAATTTCAGTGCAAACTATTATTTATTATTATTATAAGATTAATCACATTCTAAATAGAAATGGAATATGAGCTGATTCACACTGCAACTAAGCATTTACCTTTTCTAATGCCTGGGGGTTTGCCTACATCTGTGGGGTTTTGTGAGTTGTTTCCTGGGTTTTTTTCAAAAAGCAGTTTGAAGTTAGAATATGATTTATGAAGGCACTTTAACAGTTGCCGTGGATGTTTGTGCATGAAACAGTAGAAGTATTTTGCTGGAAATCCTCATATGTTTGAATTAATGTTTTCAAAAGTAGAGCTGGAAATGCAAAACTGAATTTGTGTCTTGACCAGGGATTCAATCAGTGACCTTGAATAATCATTCTGTGTCTGCTTTACAGTAGTGCTGCACGTAGAATATGTGGTGGGGTTTTGTTAATCTTTGAGTTGAAAGTACTTTTTAAAGTGGCAGTTAGAAGAGAATGGAAGTCATAGCCTTGTGTGACACACATGGCTGTACTCTAAAAAAAAAATATGTGCAGAGATTCCTCTTCAAATTTGGATGTGGTAGCTTTTATCACGTTACAGCCACAGCCATCAGCTGTAGGAAATGCACCCATAAGCGGGAAGATGGATGATTCATTTCTTATTATTTTTTCATTTAATTTGCTGTATTAGGAGGAAAGTGTAGTAAAACATTCAGTCTAAACAACAAAACAGATTTGGAGTGCAGAGATTTGTGATCTTAATCACATCAAATGAAGTGTAGGATTTACTAATTTTAAATGGTTATTTTACTGCACCATTTAATAATGTAAATTTTCACTGCCAAGGGTTGGGTTGGTTTTATGTATAAAATACTATGTTATGTATAAAATACTATACACAGTCACTTTCTTTTTACCTCTTGTGAGGGAGGGTTTGGGGTTTTTACTGTGTGCAAATGAATAATGGTAATAATGGTCACTGTCTGTCAGTATATTTTCATGTATAATTTAATGCATTGCTGATGCAATGCAAGGCACATTTTCTACACTTGTTTATGCATCTACAAGTTCGAATCTTAGTAAACACATTTTGTCACTTTTCTAATGAATCACTGGTTTTCTCCAAGGTGACATTGGAATTGCAGTACCAAGTTTATGCAGGTGTAATTTGAAGAACCATTTGCTTTCCCCTTATCACTTTCAATCAGTAACAATCCTTGTAGTGTTGAAGGGAAATTTATGATTGGAGGATATCTAATGAGACTGGAGCAGTAAATGAAATCTCCCAACATCTTTCATAGCATTCTAATATTTTTAAAAATAAGACTTTTACAAAATATGCTTGTGATAATGCTCTCCTTAGTAAGGCTACACTTGATTCCAGAATGATTACATGTGAGCTCTCCTGTTGTTGTCTCAGTATGTAACTTAATGTTAGTTCATTATCAGCAGAGAATGGCATAATTGGTAGACACATTCCAACATGAAAAATACACATACACTTTTAATCTTGGTAAGTCATAATCACAAATATTGTGTTACCTTCTTGGATTACAGAATAGGCTGCCTTCTTATATTAAATGATGAGAGTTTAAAGAGATGTGGGTGTAGTTTCTGTTGTCTTTATTGCAGTTAATTTATAATTTAGTTCATAAATATCCAGTGAATTTAAGACTATCTTGATATTTATCATTTGTAGAGGGACTATTCAGTAAAAGGTGTTAAAAAGTTTTCTGTGTTTTACAGTAGAAGCAATTTGTGGTATAAATATGTATCAGCATATGTGTCTTCTTGCCTATTCTGCATTTATTTGACCACTTGTCTTTGTGTTTTGCATAAAGCATATAAAAGATGAATCTTTATTGTCTTATGTCACAGTCAGTCACTTAGGCACCACTGAGTTGTGAACTTATTTTCTTTTTCTTGTACTAACAAAAGAGCATCTATTCAAATCTATTAATCTTTGTTTCCATCTTCCTGATGTAAAATTGCTTCAGCTCTATAAGTATTTTCTTTCTCATGTCAGTTAATTTGTGAATCCATGCCATGAAATAAGCTTAGTTTAGGCCCATCAAATGACATGATTTAGTACACTTGTTTGCAGCGTCCTTGGTGCAACCTTCAAGTTAAGTGAAATAATGCAATAAACACTTGAAAAGTCCTAAAGGAGCAGCCTAGAATCTGGAGGCTAAAAAGTAGTCCTTTTACATCTGAAGTTTTAATCTGTTTGAAATAGCATACAGATATACTTTAAATAGTTTTCTGTCTGTATAAATAATTTACAGTGTGATAGGAGAGTTATTAGAAAACTTATGTAACACAGATTTGGGGAGGAACATTTTATCTGTTTGAAGAGGAAAACTACAGTTGTGTTTTACCTTTGCATGCCTTTTTTCCCTTTGTAAAGCAAATTTTTTTGTCACATATTGCAACTGCATTCTGAGCCTGATATTTAAAAACTGGCATGTTTACCTTTGTGGTGACATTTGGGGCACTCACATTAAATGTGTAAAATACCACACATGCTCTAAATTTCAGGAATGAGGGTGCTAAATTTCATTTTATTTGCACTCCTCCTACAGATGGCTTCACTGAAGATAGCAATATAACTTTTATTGAAATGTATGCCCTGTAGGCGTTTATCGTGAGAATTTTGAATTCAGGTTGAAAATAGAAAACCACAGATCTTTGGGGCAAATTTTCCCCTTGGAATCTGTATTTGGAAAGATTGCTCAACTTATGTGAGTAGGAAAAGACCTTAAACATACCTCATGCACTTTCAGTTGTTTGAATTTTCGTACAATGCCAGAGGTTTGTGTGGGTTGGATGAATTGACCTGACACACAGGGGCAGGATTAGTCTGACCCCTCAGGTAGGAGCAGAACTATAAATTGGGTCTTATGTCTCATTCTCACAGAATTATCTTTCATAATTAATACAACCTCATTTTTTGTAGATTTTTCTGACAGTATCATTTGAAAGGAAATGATGTGAAGTTTTCCAACAAATCAGTTCCATTAAGAATATCTGTGTGTGATGGGCATAGAATTGCTGCAGAGGTAGAGATCCTATGGGAGAAGGCTCTGGCTTGCTGGAACTCCACTGGGAAGCTTACAGCTGCCACTGACTTCTTCCAAATGGAACACATTCAGCATGTCAATTGAGTGATAAAATTGAATATTTATGAGAAAGAACTTGTAAAACTTTCATTTTAAAAAATGAAGTCTCCTATTGTCATTACCTGTGGATGGAACCATTTTCTTTTTTGGTTTCAATCCATTAGTGCATAACTGCAAGTCAATAAAACTAAAATCAAAACTGTATTAATTTAGGCAGGGGTGTATGTATTGTTCTAGATGAGTGATGGTCTTGACTACAAAGGACCATCCAAAAAGCACATGACATTTCCACTTTGGGTAGCCGTGGAATTCTCAGGATCAGACTGACCAAATGTAACTTTATATGGTCACTTACAGAGCTTAAAATTGAATCAGCATATTTCACATCACTAGTGTCAGCTTTGATTAGAGCTGAACAACTGTCAGAGTGCATCCCAGCAGGTTTTGCATTTCTGAGTGTGTGGTAGACTTGTGACACAGGATATAACACAAAGTAATTAAATTAACGGTTCAACAAAGCTTCAGCTAGCTGGTTAAACTGGCTCCACAGCCCTTTTCCTAATCACTTCTGCCTTAAGAATACATCACCTTGCAGCTGTTAATTTTAGTTTATTGTATGTTCCATGATATGCATAAATGGTAAACCTAAAATATTCTGGGTGAAACTTGGGTCAGTATTTAAAATTTCCCTAATCCATTACCTTTTCTTTCAAAGTAAAAAGTGGAAACTGTTATTATAGTGTTCACAGAATGAGCACCATATTCTAATGGCAAATTACCTTTTTTTTTCTTTACCTCTTAGCTCCACTTATTAATTAAGGGCTTGCAATATACCTACTGTCCTAGTTTCTGGATTCCTAACATAATTTAATTCCACTACAATAATGAATTTAAATATACCATATAAGCAATCTTCCTCCTTTGACACTCATTTCCCAAATATGCTTCAGTAATAGTCAAGCTGCACAATACTAAGTCTTGAGTCTATAAATCCATGCAGTAACATGGATTACTGGAGGGGAGAGGGAGGTTGGTGCATTTTTTATTTTTCAGTACGATATTAGGCACACAATTTTTCCCCACAAACTCAGATTTTGAACCATAATTACCTGATGGTTCTGAAGCTCTGTTTTCCCCCTAGGAATCTGAGTTTAGTGGTTT